TCATTGATTTTCACTAATCCTCAAGTTTACAATGTTAAATCAAATCCAATCAAACATGAAACTCAATTACAAAAATTTATGTACTCAATAACACTAGCCCTTTAGGAAATCCACAGCCTGTAGAATCAAAACATGTGAAAAATCGATTGACAAATACATGTAAAAGTTAAGGAAATGATTCAAATTTTAATTAGTACTCTACATAGTAGGAACAAAAAAACAAAAATGGGTTTACATCAAAGAGAAATCTTATAATTCCTAAAATGATAATACTCATAATTAGAAAACTGTTCAATCCCTAAATCTCCGTCTCACTAATTTGATTTGATTAAAGAAAAAAAACAAAAATTAAATCCCTAAAACTTGATTAAAGGAAACAAAATGTAAATTTACCATATAAAACAACTAAAGAAAATAAAATCAAAATAATATAAACCTTGAACACTCTCTCTCCTCTCGCTCACACAAAACCCAAAAGACACTCTTTTTTCTTCTCTCAATCCCTAAATCTCCGTCTCACTCTCTTCTCTTGCTCAGCTATGAATCTCTAGGGTTCCGTTTTTACTCTGTTTGCATTTTCCTTCTAAGGGCTAAATGAGTCATTTACTCACTCTCGCTTTCTCCTTCTTCTTCCTCTCTAACTCACCACTCCTCCATGTCGACGCCGTACCGGAGCGGGAGCTCCGATCTCTCCTCGAGTTTCGTAAAGGAATCCGTGACGAAACCTCTAACCAACGAATCTCATGGTCCGACACAAGCAGCCTCTCCGATCCCAACACTTGCCCTAATGATTGGCCTGGAATCTCATGCGACCCAGGAACCGGCTCAATCGTCGCCATTAACCTCGACCGTCGTGGTCTCTCCGGCGAACTCAAGTTCAGTACACTCACCGGCCTCACTTCTCTCCGTAACCTCACACTATCCGGAAACAGCTTCTCCGGTCGGGTCGTTCCTTCGTTGGGTGGGATTTCTTCGCTTCAACACTTAGATCTGTCAGATAATGGATTCTACGGACCTATTCCGGGTCGGATCTCGGATCTATGGGGTTTGAATTATCTCAATCTCTCTTCCAACAAGTTCCAAGGTGGTTTTCCGAGTGGTTTCCGTAACCTTCAGCAACTAAGATCTTTGGATTTGCACAGGAATGAGATTTGGGGTGATGTAGGTGAGATTTTCACTGAGCTTAAGAACGTCGAGTTCGTTGATTTGAGCTGTAATCGTTTCCATGGAGGCTTGTCATTACCTAAAGACAACATTTCCAGCATTTCCAACACTCTCCTTCACTTGAATTTGAGCCACAATGCGTTAAACGGTGGGTTTTTCAAGTCAGAATCCATCAGTTTGTTCAAGAATCTCGAGGTTTTGGACTTGGAGAACAATCAGATCAATGGTGAGTTGCCTCCTTTTGGATCACAGCCGAATTTGAAGATCTTGAAGCTTGCTCGTAACCAGTTGTTCGGTACAGTGCCGGAAGAGTTGTTGCAGAGTTCGATTCCTTTGCAGGAGTTAGATCTCAGTCGAAATGGTTTCACAGGTGAATTCAAATTTACACTCTTTTTGTTGACATTGTTGCTGAATCTTGCTGCTTTGTTTCATTGAGCATTTGATTTGACTGATTTTTCCTGCTCTTGACTAGACATTTAATTGCTGTATAATTTTTGGAGCTATATGTGTAAATTAAAGGAGTTTCATTTGATTCAAGTGCAGGATCAATTAGTGAAATCAATTCAACAACTTTGACTATGTTGAATCTTTCTTCTAATGGCTTGTCTGGGGATCTTCCGTCGGGTTTGAAAAGATGCTTAGTGATAGATCTGAGTGGGAATATGTTCTCAGGCGATGTATCTGTTGTTCGGAAATGGGAAGCTACTCCAGATTTACTTGATCTGAGCTCAAACAACTTGTCGGGAAGCTTGCCAAACTCTACTTCTGCATTTTCAAGATTAAGTGTGTTGAACATCAGAAATAACTCTGTGGGTGGTAGCTTGCCTTCTCTGTGGGATGATTCAGGGTTTTCTCAGTTCTCTGTCATTGATCTGAGTTCAAATAAGTTCAGCGGCTCCATTCCGGGAAGTTTCTTCACTTTTGCAAGTTTGAAAAGTCTGAATCTTTCGATGAATAACTTGGATGGACCAATTCCTTTTCGAGGTTCACGTGCAAGTGAACTTTTGGCTGTAAGTTTTGATCCTCAGATGGAGTTGCTTGATCTCTCAACCAATTCTTTGACGGGTATGTTGCCTGGGGATATAGGTACAATGGAAAGAATTAAGGTGCTGAATCTTGCAAATAATAAGCTGTTCGGGGAACTTCCAAGCGACCTCAACAAGCTCAGTGGCCTTGAGTACCTTGACTTGTCAAACAATAGTTTTAAGGGTCAGCTTCCTGATAAGCTTCCTTCCCGAATGGTGGGATTTAATGTGTCCTATAATGACCTATCAGGCATAATCCCAGAAGAGCTGAAAAGCTACCCACATTCATCATTTTTTCCTGGCAACTCCAAGCTAAATCTCCCTGGTGGGATTCCAGTGGATTCTACTGGTGTGTCTTTACCTGGGAAAGATCATAAGCTGAGCATAAGAATAGCAATTATTGTTGCTTCAGTTGGAGCTGCTGTTATGATTCTTTTTGTCTTGTTTGCCTATCATCGAACACAGCTCAAGGGCTTTCATGGGAGGAGTAGATATACTGACCAAGCCACGACTAGAGATGCCAAGTTTGGACGCTCTTCTCGTCCTTCATTTCTCAACTTTGGCACAAATGTTGAGCACCAGTCATCGTCTTTGAGCTTCTCAAACGATCACTTGCTCACCGCAAATTCAAGGTCGTTGTCCGGGATACCCGGATTTGAAGCTGAAATTTCGGAGCAGGGTTTGGCCACTACTTCAGCCACTACAAATCCTAACCTCCTTGATGATTACCCTGCAACATCTGGACGGAAATCTTCTTCAGGAGGCTCCCCATTATCCTCTTCACCCCGATTTAGCGACCAGCCTGTGATGTTAGATGTTTACTCCCCCGATCGATTGGCTGGTGAACTCTTCTTTTTAGATATTTCATTGAAACTCACTGCAGAAGAGTTATCCCGAGCTCCTGCGGAAGTTCTAGGTAGAAGCAGCCATGGAACACTATACAAAGCAACACTGGATAACAGACATATGTTGTCGGTGAAATGGTTGAGAGTTGGACTCGTGAGGCATAAGAAAGATTTCGCGAGGGAAGCTAAAAAAATCGGTTCATTAAAACATCCGAATATTGTTCCGTTGCGTGCATACTACTGGGGTCCCAGAGAACAAGAGAGGCTTCTCCTTTCTGATTACATGAGCGGAGAAAGTTTGGCCATGCATCTATACGGTGAGAAGCTCTTTGAATTAGTGTCTTTATCGCTCCTATTTATGCCTTCTGTAAAATCTTGTTTGAGCAAAAAGTAATCGCCTTTCTCTGCAGAGACTACTCCTCGGAGATACTCACCAATGTCCTTCAGCCAAAGACTAAACGTTGCAGTTGAAGTGGCTCGATGTCTTCTCTATCTTCATGACAGAGCAATGCCACACGGGAACTTAAAGCCAACAAACATAATCCTCACAAGTCCAGACAATACCGTGCGAATAACCGATTACTGCATTCACCGTCTGATGACTCCATCTGGTGTAGCGGAACAGATACTAAACATGAGTGCACTCGGTTACTCTGCTCCTGAACTCACCTCAGCTTCTAAACCGATACCAACACTCAAATCCGATGTCTACGCATTCGGTGTGATCCTTATGGAGCTTTTGACTAGAAGAAGCGCGGGTGACATAATCTCCGGTCAGTCAGGAGCGGTTGATCTGACCGATTGGGTACGGTTATGTGATCAAGAAGGTAGGAGAATGGATTGCATAGACAGAGACATTGCAGGTGGGGAAGAATTCTCAAAGGCGATGGATGATGCACTTGCAGTCGCAATCAGATGCATTGTCTCTATAAATGAAAGGCCTAACATCAGACAAGTTCTTGATCATCTTAGCTCAATTTCAGCTTGAGATTTGTTTTTTTTTTATATATATTTTTCTGTAAATCTCCATGGATTTTTCTCTTCCCCAT